AGCATAGTCTTTAAAGCAAAAACCCAAAGCAATCACAGCGGTCAGTCAAAACAAATGTATCAAAATATCGCAGGTAGCCAATGAGAAATCACAGACACTGCATGCAACCACAAATGGAAACTAATTTGTGATTGGACAGTTTAGTTTCGGATGTAATAAGGAATAAAAAGTGCAAGGTTTCTGGAACCATCACATAGAAATTTAACAAGGAAGACTAATGAAATCTCGAAGAGCTTGCCATATTCAATAGAAAACTGATAGAACCCCTCGTAGGGTGTGTTCAGTTCACCATTTAACTCTTCACTCGTAATCCTACTCTTGACAATTTTACATTTACAGATATTTTCACGATTTTTTTACAAACGAACCAAAGCACGAACGAACGAAAAAAACCAACGAACCCACCAACAAACGAAAGAAAGAGAGAGAACGAACGCACGACCGTACGAACGAGCGGACGGACGACAGAACAAACGATCAAACTAACGAACGAGGTAATATATCATAATAATTAAAATATGACACAGTTGAGGTTTGGAGAATTTAACTAAACTCGTCGCTACTGAGATAGAGATAAACTGTAAAATAAGAGCTTATTATGGTACACAAACATTAAACGAGGTGACTCTGAATTAACCCTTTACCCACTGACATCAGCATGCATATTCTCCACTGCTGCTTTCCATAAATTTCATAATTTTAATAAAACCAAAATTACCTTGTTATACTCACCCACCGACGCAGCACCAAAGTTTCTTTAGAAATTTACCCCCTTTATTCGCTTATTCATATACGCGAGCTAAAAAAACTGAGTAGTCTCTCATCTCTTTAAAGACGAGTTCAACCCCAACCTCACTCTTGCTTTAAGGCGGCCAAGCAACTAGGCAGACATTCGTAAAATAGATCATTTTTCCGATACTTACACTGAATAGCAAAATTGATGTCATAGATATAAAGTTTAGTGTTGGTGCCTGTGCTGGTATACTGATCAACAGCACACATAACCTTGACATGATTTATTGTGCTGTTGTTTTCGGAGCGTCCTATGGTAACGTTTTGCTTAGAAACGCTCTGAATCTTGATTCCCTGGGGAAGCCTTGGCACCCTTGTGCACTCGTTGTGGGACATCGAGCAGTGAGACACGTCTCTCCATCCACTGTTAGAAAACTTTATCTTCCAGTTGACTTTTTTGATTGTGTTCAGGTTCGTAAAACCTCCGCATTGGATAGTCAAACTTCCGTTGGAACATGCTTCCATTTGAGTTTCTGTCGGAGGTAATGAAGCTGTAGCTTTCAAACTTGCTGAAAAGACTTGAAGTAACCAAAAACTTACATTAGTGTTGATGTCTTAAACCATTATATGGCTTTAAAGATTAAAAAGCACTGAATACCAAGCCACAGCCCGGCTCTTCGTCCAATGTTGCTCACTGAGTAGGGGTAAAGTGAACGATCTGGACTGTTTGAGGATCAAACTAACCAAGTCTAAGCTGGGCTGTGAGCAGACCCTCAAGACGCAAGTTGTTACGATCGCAAATTGTAAACTTTTTTTACCTCCACAGGCGGCTCAGGCATACTGTGTATGATTTTGGGGTCTAAAGGTTTTTAAGATGAATGAACGTCATCACGACATTATTATGACGTCGTGTCAAATGATCAACAAACTATGTGTCACTTCTTTTTTGATACGGCACCCGCTTCCGGTATTCCATTAACGATCTTTAGGCCCCAAAATCGCACACAGTACGCTAGGGCCGCCTGTCTTCCTTGCTATCGTGCGTGAATTTCCAAATATGGCTTCTTAAAAAGTAATTAAATTAAATAATAATTAAATTATGTTGTAATACAAAGGTGGGATTTTAAGTAACTAGACGCATATCTGCGTGAACTCGGGCTTTCAATATCGCACATCTGGAGTTATCTGTAAAGGACTGCCATATTGCCATTGTTACTGTCGTCACGCAATTTCATCATTGCCGGTCACGAATAAGTCTACTTGTGTTTATTTTTGTCTCCTGGAGTGTTAAGGATGTTGTTATTGTACAAGACAGCAATCCAAATAATATATTACCATATAGGAGTAAGTTCCTGTAGATGCCAAAGGTTGAAATTCAAGGACTTTTCAATGACTTTGAAGGCTAAATTTTAGAAAATTGAAGGAACCACTTTTGGAAAGGTTTGCATGAACAATTTTAAAATTATTTAATATCATTTCTCAGCTTTTCCATAAAAGTAGTGTAATTCTCAACTTGCAACTTGTTGCTAAAGGAAAAGCATTGCAAAAATCAAGCCTTAGTCCTTAAATTCAAGTGCTTTCAAGGCCTTGAGTTTTTTATTTTTAAATTGTAGGACTTTCAAGGCTTTTACAAACCCTGAGTAGCTAATGTATTTTTCTTCAATTGCAAGGAGAAGGGAACTTTTTATCTATTTTTTATTGNAAAAAACTGCCCAAGAGAAAGCTATCACAGTTCCAAGTTGTTGTACAACTTGTCATTGTCTAAACGCCGTGATTTCATAAAGATTAGATTAATTCCAGTATTCAAGAGAAGTCAAAAGCTTATGGCTCTCCCGTGTTGCGTAAAACGGTAGGCGAAAAACAGCGATAATTTTTAGCATGTGCCTTTGCTCAGAATTTCGTAAGATTACGAATGATAATACTAGAGTTGATTATCTTTTAGAATATGTAAAGTTTAGTTTGGGGAAATGAATTTGGAATTTTTTACAATTTTTTGAAAATCGTGAGGAAAGACAAGAAAATCACGCCATCCTGTTGTGTACATGTGACCATTAAGACATTGACATAATAAAAATTAACACGATTCTGATGCATATAGCAATCGAAAGTAAATATAATAGCCTTAACTCAAATATTTTATTCTTAGCTGTTCATATGAGTCCAGAGTTTCAGTCTGTTTTTCCGTTGTCTCCATTCTGCGGTCTCTGTAAGTTTGACATCTGCACCGTCGCTTTATGTCGCCCCTCGATCAAAACCGCTGCTCCTGAAAACGACTAAACTTTTCAATTTGTATTGCTTGTGTTCTTAATACGACATTTTGGTGTTCTTTGCGACAAAATTTATTAAAACACTGATCGAGTTGACTATATAGCCTATATGCAAATTTATTTCGCTTGAATTTATAAAAAAATTTGCATAGAGGCCAAACGAGCTTGCGTGACAGCTGAATTTGTTCATGGAGTGGGGGGGGAGGAACTATGCGGTCTTTCTCTACAATGCGTTGCTTTGGGGTAGCAGATTTCTCTTTAGATCGCTAATAAACTATTTTACAAAGAATTTATCTTTCTTGTTACTAACTTTCGAAGAATCGAACACTTCAATTTTATGTAATTAATTTAACCTCATTACTGCATGTTTTATTTCCCACGTGAACTGAATAAAAATTCTAAATTTAAGAAAGACAATACTTTGCGTGTTCTTGCTCTTGGAGCCGTGGTAGAGGTTTTTGCTTTTTCGGGAGTATAGTCGCTAGTCCATGTTCGCAAATTTATCATATTATAATGTCGCGCTATGCGAATTACGTAGGGTAGTTCTGTCAATTGAAAACCATCGAGACCTCTTTCCTGTTTTGAACTGATTTGACTGAAAACTTCGGAACAACGATCGTCAAAACCAAAAGAAAAGAGGTATATGGCTAAAAGACCCAATCTTGTCCACCCTATGTACCAATTACTGTCACAAACTCTTGCTCAGCCTGATGTGCAAATTTTGTGGTGCTTTGTGAGCAAGTGTAGTCTCAAAACGGTCCACGGTAAACTGCATGGGAACACATGCTTGAACTAGTTGGCTTTATTGTCAGCCCTTTTATGGTTTCCTTCAGAATTTTCAGAAAAATTTGTATTAACAGTTTAAAGAGGACAAATTTGAAAAGTGAGCTACGAAGAATTCGTTGAAAACTAAGCCGGTTTGCTCTTAATATTTAACATGGATTTGGACTCTTTTCTCAGCACAAGAGATTGTTTATTTTTTAACTTAAGTGTTCTTAAAGACATAAGCTGTAAAAAGTTTACAATTCAAAAATATAATTTTCAGTCTCCGGCGTATGCACCTTCGTCAAGATGTTGAACACTTTAAGAAATGACAGGCTTTGATCACTTGATTGGTAAGTGCTTATTTTCTTTCATTCTATAAATCTATCTGTCTATTTTCTTTTTTCATAAATGTGTTTCGCATTGCCGCGGCCGTTGACGTCAAACTGTGTGGGGGGATTTTCAAGAGTTTTTGAATATTTAATCGTTCGTAATTTTGGAAAATGAAAGCCGTATTACTTCCAAACTTATATTATCCCTATTCTTGAGGACAAGGAGGTAGATATATCAATACGTTATAAAAAAATGCCACAATGTTTATTTTTCTTTTTTCAACTGCGAGAATAAATCGAAACCTGTACTACCAAACATAATAATTTGGATATATCAACAAAGTTGAAATGGTAAATGCGCCACCATAACGATTACAAAAGCTGACGTTTCGAGCGTTAGCCCTTCGTCGGAGCGAATAGGCGACGACGAAGGGCTAACGCTGGAAACGTCAGCTTTTGTAATCGTTACGGTGGCCAATTTACCATTTCAACTTTGTTGATATATCCAAATTATTTCGTTACCCCCACCGACGCAGCCCCAAACAGTTTCTTTCGAAACTATCTACCAAACATAAGCTTCGCTACACGGTGATCTTGCACGGTTTCGCGGCTGACGCTGAAGAGCCCATGGCGCAGTCATTGGAAATCAGGCAACAAATCCCTGCCCGTGAAAGTTGAAAATGCATATGGCTTCTCAAAAGTTTGCCAACTAAACCAAAGTCAGTTTACAAGGCAAAGCGACAACGATAAAACAATGGAGGCAAAGTGCCGCTTCAGTATAAAAGTAATAAGTTGGATATAATAAACGATCCTTGAGAAGGAAGAGGAGATTAAGGGGTAAATAAATTCTTGATAAACTGTCGTGTAAATTATCCTTGTAATGAACCATAAGATGGTACTTACGTGTTAAAACAGACAGGATTAATATCCCCCAAAAGTAACTTTTGTCAGGATCATTCATATCTGAGCAGTTTCGAATAACTTTGCTTACGGGCCAGCACTTTACTTTTAACTGAAGATTCTGGTTTGATTCTAGCTTTTAATATACAACGAACAGACCGTCAAATTCCCCTTAACTCTAAAATGAAACGAAAACGAAAGTGAGATGTCAGCTTTTTCACGTCGGTGACATCATCAAAATTACAAAACTAAGAAATTATCAATCCTTTTGAGATTTTAGTTTAGTAAGTTATCAGAACAGCTGAAGAATTACCTTTTAACTGATTTTCAGTTTGATAGTTTTTTTTTTTCTTGTGACAGAGCGAAGTTGAATTTTTAAGGTTATGCGTGACAGGATGTTAAAATGGCCGCTGAGGATGCTGTCACGTAGGTTAAAAAGACTTACTAATCCGCTGAGATTTTGCAATCTGAACGGTTCTTGTAGAAGAATAAGTACTCAAAAAGATGTTTATGACCCCTCAGAAGTCGACCAAAGGCTTTTTATAGCAAAATCTCGATAACAGGTGTTTTTGTCAGCTTGGCCCTCTGAGGGACAAAAACATGACGTCTCCATAAATTTGAGTAACACATTTCTTCGAAGATCTCCCGCACGAAACATCGCACAGACCTGAAACTCTGCGAGACTGTTGAATATGCATCTTCTTTTACCTCTTTGATTTTTGGCTTTATTTGTTGGATGGCTTTGATGATGGTGTGACAATGAAAACCGGCAATAGAACCGAATTAAGACGCAACCTTAAGCAAGAATCTGCAGCAATATAGAACGAAACATGACAACAAGGTATTGAGCTGCGAAATGGTTCCGTTATATCAAGAGATTATAACGATTACCAAATCACTACAATTGTTCTAGATGAAATGCCACTTGTGAAAATACTTTGAAGTTCAAGATGACGGATGACGAGATTTGGAGTGGTCGTGGGTACGAACTTGAAAACGTAAAAACCAACGATGAACCACGAGAGTGGCAAAAGAATGTCTCTTAAAATGAAATGTAGTTCTCGATAGATAACACGGCAGGAAAATATAAAACATATCACGTTATCTATCTTTCAGTGCGACCTATTCTGGTTTATTGTGGTCCCTAGTATAACTTATATAAGTTGAAAATTGGAAAGATGAAAACTGATAAAAATAGCCGTGACGGTAAAAGAAAAGAGGCTTGCAACTATAAATGACATCGCCAACTATTTCGGTCACGACAATTCACCGCGCCTTACGTGACTCCCCTCTTGCTTCTGTTCTTCTTCTTGTATCAACGGGTTCATATCGCCACGAAGTGAAGTACAGAATATATTGTTTATATAACCAAGATTTTAACACATACCAAAGCCGCTGAGGAAAATAACTTGCTTTGAAAAACGTAGTCCACAAAATTAGCTTTCAAACGAGAGTTTTTTCAAGAAATTTGGACAAAAGACAGTCAAGATATCGTCATTCGAAAACACAGTTTGCAGTTTTATCGTGGACTTCGGTTTGTTAATTTTCTACTGTTTTGCGGCCAAAAATTGAAGGGGCTGAAAAATCGCTCTGAGCTTCAAAATTTAAATTTTGAACCTGGAGAGGGTCTACTGCAGAGGTCCAGTCCGGCGAATGGAGCACCTAGCTCTGGAAATGATTTATGCCTGCTGATGCTTCGGATTCACGCGTTTTCGCCATCTAAATTATAAGGTTTGTATGGAATATACTTTCGTTTTCGAGAGATAGTAAAAGGAAGGGTTTACCACACTCGTTTTATTGGTGTTTATTTTTTAACAGGTTGCTTTTACTTGTAGTATCAATATCCCGGTTCGGCAAATTGAAAAGATATTTCATGATTGCGAATATTTACAATTTTTACGTGCCTTCCATTCATTCCTCTATAAAATTGGCAGCGATGTTTACAGACATTTTGCTATGAAAACGCCTGCCTACCGCAGGCTCGTGACCGGAATAGTTGCGATGACAAAGCTGTTTCAAAGCCAGAAATACAGATATCAATTATTTTTGACGCAAAAATTATTTTGAAATCGAAATTAGGGTGATGATCACAATCATAATTAAACAGGCTGTTTAAGATCATTTGGTTTTATCAACTGAATGAGAAATTTAAATTGCCCACCGTAAAGAATTTCAAAGCTGACCTTTCGAGCGTTAGCCCTTCATCAGAGAGACATAACATCACTTGGCATTTTGATTTTATTGACGTCAATAACGCGTCTGACACCCTTGAATGGAACGACCTTTTCAGCTGTCTAAAACCTTGTAACTTTCGCTCGGAATTAATAAACTGGGTTAAAACATATTATTAAAACATTCAGAGCTGTGTTATAAATTGTGATTTGGCATCAGGGCATTTTACTTTAGAACGGGGTGTAAGACAGGGAGACCCTCTCTCTCCATATCTCTTTTTCTTAGCCACAGAAATATGGGCAATTGCTACTCGAGAAAATCCTGAAAAAGAGGGAATTAAAATTAGCTCGGGATTTATCATGAGCTTTCCGAATGTTCTCCCAACATCCCACGTGACTGTATCATGTGAAAGAGCCTGGAAAAATGTGATCTTCATTTAGTTAAATAGGTGTTTGGTAAACATTTACCAGCTTTCTATCACAGATGCTGCAATCTGATTTGCTTCTCGCTTTCTACTTCATAATATAGACAGTAAGGTAAGTACCCTAAAAGTATGCGGCTGGGAACAAAATTAGATAAAAACATTTTCCTGTTTTGTTGTTAAGTTTTAATCGAAAAGTAGATTTATGTTAAACCAATTAGATTGCTCACTCTCCAAAGTTGATTCCAGCGCTTCTCCTTGACCAACTGTCACAACAATAATCTCGAATTCCTAATTCAATTGTTGTATAAATAGCTCCATTGTTTCCTTTGAACTCCTCGTAAGTTAAGGTGTTTTCTTTCTTGGTCGTCTAACAAGTTGGATCATTCCATTTCGGTTTCTGATTTCTGTGCGTGCTTGCTGATTTTCGCTCGATACAGATCTCAAGCTAATAACTCAATCGTTAAAAAGCTGTACAGATTCCTTAACTTCTCATAATTAAAAAGAGCATAATCTTTTAAGAAATGCTATTTTAAGATGATACCCCTCTAAAAATATCAGTTATGGATTTGATGTTTAGAAATACTCTTGATATATTCGGAGAGTAGTCGAAAACTAACAACCCAGACTTCAGAATCAGGAAAATTTAGACCCGCAAAAGCTCTGATCTTTACATATCAGTAACTGAATTCATAACCTACTTTTACTAACCGTTAAACGCCCTCAATCAGGGCGGTACGGAGACCTTGACCGTCGCAAGTCAAGACTCGGCGCCCTTACATGACCTACAAGCTACGAAAAGGTACCCTTGAACTTGGATATCATAATTAACACCTTCAGTTTTGATACGTACAGCAGACGGCTATGGAAGCTGTCAACGGTTAAAGGAAGGAAAAGAAAAACACGTCTTCCCCATCTTATTCCATATATTCGTAAGAGTTGCTAAGCGAGATACAACAGGTGGGAATGAAATCTTCGTGTCTCGTAGGAAACTGTAATGCACACAAACAAGCTGCAAAGCCTGGCAGAATACCACACCAAGGTGTGTGCCTCAAGGTTGCAATTGCCCACACTGCTTCTAGAACCTTGTTAGAGGCCGGATGTCCCCATGGAATTTGGCCAAAATTGTCGAGACCAAAATTCTATTCTTTCGGTGAGATTTCACCTTTGATTCTGAGAATTGATGTCTTCCAGGGGTGGGGGAAGGATTTAATGTCAGGATCCGAAAGTTTAACTCCTTCGGGTAAATTTCAACTTTGGAACAGACATAACGCGACGCCGATTACACTATCTGTAAAGCGTTTCCAGATCATTCTAAAACGCGTATTTTGTGAATGTTGAGATCTCGAAGGCCGTTCAAGATCTCCTGGGAAAACAATGTTAAGGCGCTTTGTTGGTCGGACAAACCTGAACGTCAGTCTTCTTTTAGTTGATAAGTTCTTTTACTTGGTAAGGAAACATTTAACTCTGAAATTTGTTTTCCAAGCATTAGTGGGAGATATGCACGTGAATGTAGCGGGTAGAAGACAGTCCAATAGATGTTTCCACTACAAAAAAAAACAGATAAGCACTACCAAATAGGGATAAGGCGAGTTTTATTGATATATTCCATTCCTTGGACACATGATGTGATGTTTATATAGTTAATGTACCTGACCCTGTCCAACTTGCATCTACCGTTGCGCGCCCTCGCCTCCATGCAAAATTTTTTTGTCCTGTTAAAATTCAGGGAAAGACAGGTTAAGCTTGCGTTTCTAGAAGATTTCGCATTCACTTGATGTGATTGAGCAATGGAGCAGCCGCGAAAGCGAGCGGTAAAGTCGCGAGAGGTTCGGAAAGCTCCGTTGCCGGTCTCTTCGCCTCCTCCGACTTTATTTTGATCGAGCGCCAAAGAACCGTGGTTTGTTTTGTCCCGAGGCTACTTGAGCAGTGTTTAGCCAATAGTCAGTAGCTCTAATAGAACTTATGATTTATATCAGGGCTAATAAAAGAATAGAAGTCTTAATGCTGCTTACAAACAATAACAGTTACTCAGGGTTCAGAGTTACTCTGAGCAAACCTCTTCAATGGCGCAGAGATATCATAACTTCAGTGCGTCGCGTCAATCAAGTACGATTGACGGAAATCTTGTCATCAGCACAGCATTTAAACGTGATTCCTCAGATACTTCTCTTTCTCTGTTCCTAGGGCTGGGGAGCGTTGCACTTCACGCTGAAGGTAAGTTTGAGTCTTACCTGTGTTAAGATTGCTACTTTGCCAACGATACGCGAGTTATAAACCCGGGAGTCGCATGCTCTGACTGTATTTGTAATCAAAATGTTGGTATATGCTGCCAAAATCGACAACCACGTACGCTTGTATAAGAAGGTGAGCTATGCGGAATATAAATCTCTACGGTTGAGCTGAATAGAAAAGCCGACAACAATGAACCATTCATAGTGTTAGCGAGTCCTCTTGAACATTGCATGTTAAGCTTTTCATCGGTTTTTACTTGTTGAG